TTGAAGCAGCCCCCCATAATGAGGTTGAGGATGTGGGGAGAGTTTGGCCCCACAGTAAGACCGAAGAAAGGATTGGAAAGATGCCTTTGGTTTCTGATGGCGAGTTCAGTCCCTTTGCCACCCAATCCACAAGAGGTATGCTATCACAGGCTCTCTGTGACCCAGGTTCAGCTCCCGAGCATTGCTATATTCTGTTCTTGGGTGTGCCAAGTCAAGTATTTTTTTTTTACCCTTTATTTATTCCTGTGTCGTGGTTTAAGGGAAGAAGGGAAGGGATTCACCATGCTCTGGTATGCATGGGGCTTTCGTATGCATATCTGGATAATTGGTGTGAACACATGCAAATACTGTGGAGAGTTTGGGAACCTTGATTTGGAAAAAAAAAAAAAATTGCTCCCGGGAAGATTTTTGCTCTAACAGAATTATTATAAATCAAAGGGGGGTGCGATACCTGTGATCACAGCTCTTGGGAGGCCAGCCTGGGCTACACGGGAAGACAGACAGGAGGCCAGCCTGGGCTACACAGTGAGAGCCGGTCTCCAAACAGAAAAAGGGCAGGGGAAGACAAAAAGAGAACATTTTCCATAAAGCAACCACTCCTGGCATATTGCGATAGTCTAATTGTAACATTTCAATAGAATGGATATTTGTATTGCCTTGATGACACTGGTCCTTCACACTGGCCTTTGCACTACAATGCAGTATTTATAGAAAGCTTTGGTTTTGGATACAGGCTGTGTGCACTGAGCACCTCACACATGTCCCCTTTATTGTCGTTGGCCAATCCTTTTAGTAGGGATAAAAATTCAATTCAGTAATACGGGTATTAAGGAGGACAGAGAAAGCAAGCGCGGATGATGGCTCGTTCTAGAAACCCCAGCACTTGGGAGGCTAAAGGCAGGAAGATTTCCTTGAGTGAGTTCCAGGCCAGCCTGGGCAATAGACCTTATCTCGAAAAACAAACCAGTGGGGCAAACATGTCTCCCTTTCCCACATATTTCTCTTCTGATCATATGTCCAAACCTATCCACTTTAGCCTCTGCTTGGACACAGGTTGTGTCCTCCTGGCCTGGGTCTCTTGACTCTGCCCCAGGTGACAATGGCAAATGATGCCCTCTTCGTGAACTCGGGAAGCAGAAAATGGGGACAATTTGTGTTGTTTCATTTAGACAGTGTCTCGTGTTGCTCAGTTTGACTTCAAACTCATGATCCTCCTGCCTCAGCCTCCTGAGTACTAGGAATCCCAGCAGGTGTCACTTTTCTAAGACAAGGGAGACATTCCAAAACAGTAAGTCAAGTTATGAAATCAGAGGCCAGATGCATCAGGTTGGTTCTATTGGGAAAGGATCAAACTTGAAATAACATCTCAGAGCTGGGCGGTAGTGGCACACATGCCTTTAATCCCAGCATTTGGAAGACAGAAGCAGAGGGAATCTCTGTGAGTTTGAGGACAGACTGATCTACAGAGTGTTCCAGGACAGTCAAGGCTACATAGCGAAACCCTGTCTCCAAAAAACAAACAAATGAAAGTATCCTAGAGAGGTACTTCATTAGGAGAGATAGTCTCCATGTGCAGCGTAACAGACGTCTTGAAGAAAAGCCATCTGATCCCAGGGGATTTTTCTGACTTGTATAGGTTTTTATGAAGTAGCAGCAAGTTTAATACCATGTGATTGAGTCTAGCGAGATCTATATGATTCCTGGAGCCAGGGACTAGATGGAATCATGGCCTTATAATTGCCGTTATAAGGGGGAGGGTCTGCAAGGCCACAGAATGGCAGGACTTCTTAACTGTATCCTAGAGAGATGGAGAGCAGTAGGGAATGTGGCTAAACTTCTGGAACAGAGAAAAGGGCAACTAGAGGGTCTGTGATCCACAATAGTGTCCTTCCTCTTGCAAGTCAAAGCGCTCGCTGTTGGATCTGTTTCTGTTGACATTGCTTCATCCCCAATATCCTGGATTGGAAGAGGCTAGGGAAGGGCCTCAAGTGTCATCCGCCTAAGGGCTGGGGCTCAAAGAGCCCTGAGAGCACCTCTAAGGGATGTGCCTCGGAGGGGATAGCCTACATGGGTAGACACCAGGTCCTTTGGGGGCTTCTGTTTACTCAGTGGGGAGCCCCCTTGTCCTTTCCCTTTTGGTGTTCCGAGAGCCCACTGTCACTCCCCACCGCTTACAGAGATGCCGGGAGCAGCCCCCACTTCTTGTTCATCAGTGGGTAAAGCACACCAGAGGGGCAGCTGAGTCACGGGCAGGGCAGGGCAGGGCAGGGGAGGGGCTTCCTCCACCGGGTGGTGAGGCTGGCTGTCACCAGACCCCAGTACCTTTCCCTCTGCAACTGCGGCTTTGCCCATTTCTTGTTTTCAGAGACAGCGCTCTTGTGTTGGAGGAAGTTCTGTCTGGTCACACACCTATCAGAAGGGTTGGCATTTACATAGGAGAATCTAGCGCGTTCCCAAGTGTGAGGTCAGGAACTAGAAAGCTCAGAAATGGAAAATCTGTAACTCTGAGAGGAGCAGATGAACACAGGTTGTCGTTTGCATTTTCCCTTTCGCTCTGACTCATCTTCCCCTGTCTCCACCCTACTGCCAGCCTCACCCACCGGCACACCCTGTCTGACCTAGGAGGGGTTGACAGCTGCCTGCATCCAAGCTAGAATGGGAGGGAAGGCATCCTAGGCCTGGAGAGAGAGTAGAAGGCTGGTCTGAGTACCCTGGAGTCCTGGAGCCAAAGGAGGAAACGCAAACCTTACCTCATTGGGTCTAAGAGGGGGCCAGAATCTAGGGAGAAACCTATGGGAACTCAGACCGATTCTTGTCACCACAGCAGTCTATCAACGTCTGGCTAGTTTCTCTTCTAGTTTTTTTTTATCGTACCTATATGATATACCAGACACACACCACAAATATCTCAAGATATCTGTTCAGTAAATGAGAAGGTCAGCTTAAAGATCAGATTGCTAGAGCGGGAAAAGAGAGAAAGGAAGGAAGAGAGAAACTCGAGTCTCAAAGGGTTTATCCCTTCCTCAAATTAAAGAATGTCAAAAATGAGTCTCAGCACAGGCTGAGAAAGGATAGAGATTTCAAGGACATCTTGAGCCATATAAGAAGGGGGGTGGGGTGGCTAAAAGTGTGGTAAGAGACGGAAATCTCCAGGGATCTTGACCCCTTGAGCAGAAAGTGAAAGAAGCCCCTGGTTTTGATTTCAGAGAAATGTCATTTGTCATCAGCCCAGGAAAAGGAGATTTTTCTCTTCGAAGACCACCACAGGCTTCCTGGGGTTGCCCCCTACCCGCCCCCCTCCCAGTCTGCTGGGAGGATCTGAGTCACACACCCAGCCCTTGCTGCGGTCCAGAGGACAAGGGTCAGCTTCACACAATAAGAGGGGCTTAATGTACTAAGCCAGGGAGAGAGGGACGAGGCGTGGCCTCCGGATCCCCCTGTGCTTCAAATGCTGTTTCTGTCCTTATTCTTCTGAGGTATCAGAAACGGTCTCCAGGTACTCCACGCATCTGTCACCTCTAAGACAGAATAGCAGCTGAATGCTGTGCTGTGCTGGCAGACCACACCCTTACCCATGAACTTCATTTTCATCCCTCCAAAGGACATCCTTGATAGCTGATGCAAGAGGGGACTGGGGCTCAGAGAGATGACTTGTCCAAGGTGACTCAACTAGTAAATGGCACTGATGAGGCGCAGCCTCTGACTATTCCAAAGTACCCGTCACGGCAGATTCATGTCTTTGACTATAAGGAATTTACAAATCAGGTAGTTAGGGTGAGGAGGCAGTCTGGGTTGTTAAAAGTTGATGGGTAGTCTCTCGTAGGTCTCAAGCAGAGACAGAAGGTATAAAGCCCCACCCCTTTGGGGGACTGTGGCAGGCTGATACTTGGGATGACTGAGGAGAGGGGTGGAGCTAGCTGGGGGCTGGGGGTTGGGGGGCAGGAGTCCCAAGAGCAGTAGCAAGCATGCGGTACTAGGAGGCAGCTACAGAGGTGAGTGTTTTCCCCTTGAAGCTGAGCCTTTTCTCCATCCCAGCCCTTTCTGTCCAGTCCCGGCCAACTTGCATCCTTCACCCCAAGGTGTCCAGGTAGTAACCCTCCCTCCTACAGGGCTCCTTATTCACATTCACGAGGGTCTGCACGCACAGAGGACTAGGCCTGCTGCCAGGTGCTGAGACACTGGGGCTATTTCTTGATGTGTCTCTAGTATCCTGGGAGGCCTGTGATGGTCTTGGTGTGTGGTTAACTCTCGACTTATCGGTCGGGTACTTTCTGGTCTTTTTTTTTTTTTTTTGTTTTTTTTTGGCTTATGAAAAAGAGAAATCAAACCATCAGTTAGCCTCGTTCTGAGAGGAAATAGCTTCCCGTTCTCCAGTTTCCCTTTCCTTTCCTTTCTCCACTTCCGCAGGCATCAGAGCCTTCTCTAAACCTCTGGTGTGGCTCTCTCAACTCACTGGGTGGGTGGGAATCTCTAGTCTTCCTCATTCCTTCTCTGTGTTCTAGAAGTTTCGGCCTCGGAGGGATGCCCTAGCGCCCGCTCTCCCTGTCTCGCTGCCTTCTCTGGCTTTCGAGGCTCACACTGTGGGAAGACTCACAAGCTTTTTGAGCTCTTTCATGAACTTACATCTTACTCCATTCATAAATGCAAGGTTTTGTGTGAGGCGAAGAAAAGGCCAGGCTGCTCAGTGGGTTTTTTCCCTGCAAAAGAGCTTGGGATAGCAACAGTCCTTAAACCCGAGTTTGCTAACTGTTTAGGACTGATACCTCAGCTACCTGCCTGACTTACTCCTTAGACACCAAACCTGACCCAATGCGGATTCTCCTACCGCTACATTGCCACAGCTTGCCTTTGCCTTAGTTTATTTGACTCACTCAGGACAGCAGCTCCAATCTGGGACAGGAGACTCACCCCTCTTTCTCCCTTCCCCTCCACAGGCCTGAGAATATGCCGTTTCTCCCTCTCCCTTCTGCCAAGGACCCCCCCCCCCCCACTGTGGCTTTCCTTTCAGAGCCTCTGAAACTGGTAGATTAGCCAGGAGCAATGCCCCGGACCCCCACAAGACTAATCAGCCCCTATGGCTCTGATAGGTTGGTGCAGTTAGCTGCTAGGCTTCGGCCAGCTCTGTGTGATACCTTGATCACTGTAGGGGGCCTGGAGTTCCCTGCTCACAGCCTGGTGCTGGCAGGTGCAAGCCCAAGGCTGGGTTGCAGGGGCAGGTGGGCTCTGGTGGAAGGCATCAGCCCTTCTACCTTTGCTAAGCTTTTAACCTTTGTGTATGGAGAGAGTGTAGAGCTACAGCCTGAGGAGCTGGGGGACCTTGAAGAGGCAGCCAGAGCCTTGGGGGTGCAGACCCTGGAAGAGGCCTGCAAGCGAGCTCAAAAGGACAAGCATGAAGATGAGCTGGATGGAGGCCGGAAGAGGCACCAGGTGGCAGCAGAGCTCGTCAGGAGTTCTGAGAGAGGACTGGGGGGTCCCGCAGAGAAGCAGGACCCAGAGAAGGAGTTTAGGAGTGATGGGAGAGAACAGGAGATGTTACCCAAGCGCAAAGCACCCGGAGAGAGCCCTGAGAGGGCAGGGGTAACTAGGAAGATGAGAGCGGAGGAGGCCCGCAGCCCAGCCCCCGTGGGCCACAGGGGAGCAGAGAGGAAGCAAGGAGAGGCCGTAGAAGGTATAGAGAGCCCTGAGGGCTCTGAGGAGTGTCTTCGCGGGTGCCCTGGTCCCCCCCTAACCAGCCTCATCCCCAGGCCCTGGTGGGCTGAGGCCCCTTGGTTGGGAGAAGGCCAACCTGGCCTGTGGAGCATCTTCCTGTGGCCACCCAGATATGACACCCCCTTGTCCCTTAGCACCCCCGTCACTGCAGCCTGGCAGGTCTGGCCTCAAGCGCAGAGGTGAGTGAAGGTGCCTAGGCTGGGAGGGCTTAGCGCAGGAGAGGCCGCAGTAATGGTGGGAGGGCGCCACATCTGCACAGCTGCTAAGTTAAGGAGGCAGCAAAATGTTCTGATCTTGAGAGAGGCCAGAGTTGGTTAGGTTCTCAGGCTCCGCCAAGGCTGTCATTCTTCTCCACCCAGGATCCCACTGACCTTGAGCCACTCCAAAGGTCTCTGGAGTCAGAATCAGCTGGCCTCCTCCAGCCCCACTCCAGGTAAGCCCCTCATCGCTCCATCCAGGAGTCCAGGCTTCGAAGGGCCCCCACTAAACCCTACTTACAGGAGCCTTCCCCCCCAGGGCCCCGAGCAATCAATCAGCCCTTGGGAGATAAAAGAGTCTGGGTAAGGGCACACAATAAGCAGGGTATGAGGACAGCTCCTCAGTGTCGCCAAAGCTCTCAATTCAGGGACTCTGGTCATGCCACTTTGACTTCTCTGTCCACACAGGCACACTGGCAACCTGTGTGGGTCAGGAACGCACACTGAGCTGTCCACCTCACCCACACTCTCCTTTACCCCTTCCTGCTCGCTCTCGGCCCTACTCTTGCTCTGTCTGTGGAAAGAGGTTCTCACTCAAGCATCAGATGGAGACGCATTACCGAGTCCACACAGGTATGGGCCTACTGCCCAGTGTGAGTTTGTCCCTTCTGTCCCCGTCATCGCTGGTCTGCCAGCTTCCCCCCCTTGCCCCATTGCTCGACGCACCCCTAGCTTGGCCAACCTTCGCCCGTTTCTTCCTTGTCTGGCTTTCTCCTCCACCTGTAGGAGAGAAGCCCTTCTCCTGTAGTCTCTGTCCTCAGCGCTCCCGGGATTTCTCTGCCATGACCAAGCACCTGAGGACACATGGGGCTGCTCCCTATCGCTGCCCTCTGTGCAGGGCTGGCTGCCCCAGCCTGGCTTCCATGCAGGCTCACATGCGTGGCCATTCGCCCAGCCAGCTGCCGCCCGGATGGACCATACGCTCCACCTTCCTCTACTCTTCCTCGAGGCCGGCAAGGGCCTCGATCTCTCCCGGGAGTCCTACCTCCTCCTCTGCCACCTGACCGGGTGTTGGTAGCTACTCTGGCTTTGACAAGCGTCCAACCAAAAGAATGAAAGGCATACGGGCTCAGCCGCCCTGTATTTAGGGTTGCTTGGCAAATGTGACTGCGGAAGCGCTGCGGGACAGGAACCACGATGAGCGAGTATTGCAGAAGTCTTGGCCGGCTGACGAGTCCGAGTTAAATACATTTAAGTTGGCTGGAGTGAAGATTAACTGGGGACTATCAATTTCATCACTATAATAAAGAGTTTCCTGTGTTCTCCAGTCAGGATGAGTCCAGACTTTTCGTCTGCGCGGGGGAGTGGGATGTGTGTGTGTGTGTGTGTGTGTGTGTGTGTGCGCGCGCGCGTGCGTGTGTGTGCGTGTGTGTTGTGGGGGGTCCAACCCTTGCCGGTTGTCCTGCAGCGGCCCCTGCTGGGCATTCAGCCACTAAACAGAAGGGTCAGACATTTCATTTCCGGGGACTCTGTATGTATAATTCCCGAGGGCAGCACACCGCAAAGGCACTACAGACCCTGGGGACGGAGAGGGTGGCTGTGAGGCCTCCAAGACTCCGATCCCTTCCACAGCAATCCACCGCGCGCGTACTCCAGGGCTGGAGAGGAGCGCAGGCTCAGGTCGTGGTTTCGGCCACCGGTCTCCTGTCCCTGAGAGCAAGGGACGGGGGACCAGCCTCTCCAGCATCTCCCCTCCGCGCCGTGCAATGCGGCGGCCAGACTGCGCCTGGAAGTGAGACTAACCCAACGCCACCGCCCTTCCCTCAGCCCACGCCTAGCGCAATAGCTAAGTTCGTTTGCCGGTGTCGGTCTGGTTCCCAGGGTCCGAAGCCCGCGGTACCCTGGGAATGGTAGTTCGTGCAGGCCGCTGGTTCCGACTAGAACAATGGGAGGAGTCTGAACCGGGGCCACACCTCCTCGAGACCAGGAACTGGCTCTCCTGATCTCCGTCGCTGACCCCGTAGTCCCAGTCCTCGCGCCCTAGCAGTCGGCGGAAGGAGCAAGACCGTCTGGACTACATTTCCCAGAGGTCCTTGCGCCTCCCGCTCTCAGGCCGCGACGCGGGGTCCGCTTTCCAGGTGTGGTCTGAGGGTGACGGCCGATCGGCCCGGACTCCTGCTCCCGTGGTGCCCCGCGCGTGGCCAGCCCAGCCCCCGGCTCCTGCCCGCCCCGCAGCGGCGCTGGTTGTTGTCGTGAGCCGCAGCCGCCCCGCTTCGCCCCTCCCCTCCTCCCCTCCCCCCGGCCCTGCACACGGGCCGCCCCTCCCCCCGCCTCCCCGGCCCCTCTCACGGTGCCAAGATGGCGGCGGCGGCGGGCGGCGGCAGTTGCCCCGGGCCTGGCTCCGCACGGGGCCGCTTCCCGGGCCGGCCGCGGGGTTCCGGCGGGGGCGGGGGCCGCGGCGGCCGAGGCAGCGGAGCCGAAAGAGTGCGGGTAACCCTGCGGCGCGGCGGCGGCGCGGCGGGGCCGGGAGGAGCCGAGCCCGGGGAGGACACGGCCCTGCTCCGTTTGCTGGGGCTCCGCCGGGGCCTGCGCCGGCTCCGCCGTCTGTGGGCTGGTCCGCGCGTTCAGCGAGGCCGGGGCCGGGGCCGGGGCCGGGGCCCGAACCGAGGCTGCATGCCGGAGGAGGAGAGCAGTGACGGGGAATCCGAGGAGGAGGTGAGGCGGTCGGACGCGTCTCTTGCGCCGGGTGGGGCGGAGGCCAGGGGCTTGCAGGGCTCCGGATACTCCGGACCAGTGGGATTCTCGGGGCTCTTGGAAATGAGCGTGGAAGGCAGCAGGCTGCGTGGAGCTTTCGGGTGGCCAGGGCCTTTGAAAGTGGTCAGAGCAGACCTGATTGCAGCTAGACGCCTGGGCTCCAGGCAAGCCCTGCTGGTGTCCCGAGCTGATCTTTCGTGGTAGCAATGGCAGTGCAGGAGAGGAGTGGGTGAAGAGGCCACGGGGATCGCATGCCCCACCAGTGCTGGTTGACAGCAGCAGCGTGGCCTTAATGGACCAAGGCTGGAGCCTCCTGGGCTCTTACCTGCAGGCTGCTTCCTTGGGCCTGATAATCAATCCGCGACACGTCCCTGGTTTCACGAATGTCCCTGTTGCTCTCTGGTTCTAAGGTAGAGCGGTGGAGGCTTCTTCCGGCACAGGTTGAGGAGGGATAGCGTGATTGCTGAGTCTTGAGTCTGGAGCGAGTGCTGCTCATGCCTTATCCCCTCTCCGCCTTTGGAAAAGGAGTGCGTGGATTGTATTGCTTGGGAGAGTTGTTAGTCCTCTGAGGGCTCAGAGTGGATTCTGATGTGAGAAGCCATCTGCTCCACCTTTCACCCTTCGCCCCTCAGCATTGCCCATTCCCATGTCGGAATGCCGGGAAGGGTGTAAATAAACGAAGGACCTACTGTGTGTAGTTGGAATTAGCCCTCATTGTCATGCCTACGGCTTAACTTGAGGAGACCCTCTAGTTGTTTCTTCTGGGCCAGTGAACCACTGATGGCTGTGCTGGTGTGGTCTGGTTGGAGCATGCATTGCACCTTCTCTCCCTCTGACCTGGCCTCAGGCTGCTAAGTTCTTTGGTAAATGAGCAGAAGTACGTTAAGGTAGAAGCTAAGTATTATACCCTCAACACCTGAAACTCAGGTGGACCAGGGCTTCGGCACTGACTGCTGTTTCTCCCCTTCACCCCTGGTCCCTAAATCAGGAGTTTCAGGGTTTTCATTCAGATGAAGATGTGGCCCCCAGTTCCCTGCGCTCTGCGCTCCGATCCCAGCGAGGTGAGTGATGGGGAAACTCTACCTCTACAATTTTAAGGGAATGTTCTCACCCTTTGTGACAGCTCTTTGGTGTTCACCTAGTTTCCACCGTTACTGAGTGCGTCCTGTGTTCAGCGTCCAAGCGAGCCTGGGATTTGGGGGAAACAGACAACTAAGACTTAGTACCTTGCCTCTCTGGGGTGCTTTTATTAAGTCCTCAGGGCCAGCTTGACCCAACTCCCCGCACCTGTTCTCCTTTTAGGTCGAGCCCCCCGGGGTCGGGGTCGAAAGCATAAGACAACCCCTCTTCCTCCTCGCCTAGCAGATGTGGCTCCTGGCCCCCCAAAGACTTCTCGGAAACGGGGCGAGGAGGGCACAGAGCGAATGGTGCAGGCGCTGACTGAACTTCTCCGGCGGGCCCAGGCACCCCAAGCCCCTCGGAGCCGGGCATGTGAGCCCTCCACTCCCCGTCGGTCTCGGGGACGGCCCCCGGGACGGCCAGCAGGCCCCTGCCGGAAAAAGCAGCAAGCAGTAGTGGTAGCAGAAGCGGCTGTGACAATCCCTAACCCTGAGCCTCCACCTCCTGTGGTCCCAGTAAAGAACAGAACTGGCGGCTGGAAGTGCAAGGAGGGACCTGGACCAGGACCTGGAACCCCCAAACGTGGAGGGCAGCCCGGGAGAGGAGGCCGTGGAGGCAGGGGCAGAGGCCGAGGCGGACTTCCCCTTATGATCAAGTTTGTTTCGAAGGCCAAAAAAGTGAAGATGGGACAATTGTCCCAGGGACTAGAATCAGGTCAGGGTCATGGTCAACATGGGGAGAGCTGGCAGGATGCCCCCCAAAGGAAAGATGAGGATGAACAGGAAGGGGGCCCTTGTCGGAAGAAGCCAGAGGAGAAACCGGAGGAGGAGGAGGGAGACCAGAAGGAAGAAAAAGCAGACAACGATGAGGACAAAGAGGAGGAAGGGGAGACCGAAACAGCTGTGGCCGAGGAAGAAGTGATGCCAGTCAAGGAGAGGGGAGAGGCAAAGCCGCCATCACCACCCTCGACCCCTCCAGTCCCCTCACCACCTCCTCCTGTCCCACCCCCTTCAGTATCTCCACCTCCAGCGTCCCCTCTGCCACCCCCAGTTTCTCCTCCTCCCCCAACAACCCCTCTTCCACACCCAGCCTTAGAGAAGCAAGAAGAGTCTCCTCCTCATGTGGTCCCAGCTACTTGCTCTAGGAAGAGGGGCCGGCCTCCCCTGACTCCTAGCCAGCGGGCAGAGCGGGAAGCTGCTCGGTCAGGACCAGAGGGCACCTTCTCTCCCACTCCAAACCCCAGCACCACCACAGGAAGCCCTTTGGAAGACAGTCCTCCCGTGGCCCCCAAAAGTACCACCTTCTTGAAGAATATACGGCAGTTTATTATGCCTGTGGTGAGTGCCCGTTCCTCCCGCGTTATCAAGACACCCCGGCGGTTTATGGACGAAGACCCTCCCAAGCCTCCAAAGGTGGAGGCTTCTATTGCTCGACCTCCTGTTGCCACCTCCCCACCTGCTCCCCAGGAGGCGGTACCAGTCCCCTCTCCACCTCGTGTCCCAACTCCCCCATCTACCCCAGTCCCACTCCCTGAGAAGAGACGGTCTATCCTAAGGGAACCCACCTTTCGCTGGACTTCACTAACTCGGGAGCTACCACCGCCTCCCCCTGCTCCTCCCCCTGCTCCATCCCCACCAGCTCCATCCCCACCACCTACCCCTGCAACTCCCTCCCGGAGGCCCCTGCTCCTTCGGGCCCCTCAGTTTACCCCAAGTGAAGCCCACTTGAAGATCTATGAATCGGTGCTTACCCCTCCTCCTCTTGGGGCTCTTGAAACCCCTGAGCCAGAGCTGCCTCCTGCTGACGACTCTCCTGCCGAGCCTGAGCCTAGGGCCGTGGGGCGGACCAACCACCTCAGCTTACCCCGATTTGTCCCTGTGGTCACCACTCCTGTTAAAGTTGAGGTGTCCCCCAGTGGGGCTCCAGCCCTGAGCAATGGGCAGCAGCTTCAGGCTCAGCTCCAGCAGTCCCCACAGGCCTCGCAGACCCAGCTCCTGCCCCAGGCACTACCACCACAGCAACCACAGGCCCAGCCACAGGGACAGCTGCAGCCACCTCCATCACCGCAACACACACCACCACTGGAAAAGGCCCGGGTTGCAAGTCTGGGTCCGCTGCCACTGTCTGGGGTGGAGGAAAAAATGTTCAGCCTTCTTAAGCGAGCTAAGGTGCAGCTATTCAAGATTGATCAGCAGCAACAGCAGAAAGTAGCAGCTTCAATGTCGGTGAGTGTTGCTGTCAGCTGTCTCCCTAGGGCCACTCGGCCACTGTCCCCTTTACTTGGCGCCTGCCTGTTCCCTGGTCCCATCCCTTTCATGTCCCATTTCCCCATTCCCACTGGTCCTCACTTTGCAGCCCCTGACCCTGTTGTTATTTCCCCGACTAGCCAAGCCCTGCAGTGCAAGTGGAGGAGGCTGTGGGGACTGTCAAACAGACCCCAGACAGA